ATATATATATATATAACAACACATAAATTTAGAAAAATTAAAGCTAACTATATATAATTTTTTATTCATATTTATCACCCGATTATATAAAAATTGAAAATGAAATCAAGATAAATAAATTCAGAAGATAAAATCCAGAAAATCAATCTAATTCTAAATTTTTTGTTATATTTATAGCCTAATTCTAAAAGAAATATGGAAATCGAGGATACTCATCACTCATTTAAGTAAACATTGAAATTGAAATCAAAACAAATCTAGAAAGGTCAAACAAATTCTAAAAAAGAATATTTTTGTTAAAATTTAAATTCATATTTTTTACTATAAATGAAAATATATAATATAGTATGTGACAAATTATAATGCATATAACAATTTAAGAAAAAAATAGTGAAAATAAAAATAATTTAATTGGAAATAATGTTATAATTAAATTTATATTGACAATGAATGAAATAAATGAAAAATATAATAGATTGTGTGGCAAATTATAAAATTGTCTAAATCCTCAATTCTAGCAGATAAATTGACTATTTGTTTGAAATTTATTGTCTTGGAAACTTTTTCTTTGTCATATGAAAATATTTTGCACACATTAAAATTAAAAACAAGATTTTCTAGTAAATATTATCTTATATTAATTTTTAAAATTATTAAATATTTAAAAATTAGCTAATATTTATTTTTATAAAATTTAATTTAAAAATCTCAACAAATAAATATATTTTTAAAATTAATTTTATCATGATGGAATCAAATTATCATATTTAACCCAATAATTTAAAATTTGATAAATTTAAATTTCAAATATCAAGAATTTAAAATTCTTTGAATTTATAAAATTCTTCATTCAAACACACCATAATTTTTTTTTTTTATTTACCAAAACAAAATTTTTATTGTTCAGAGGAGAGCTAAAGCCCGAAATATCTATCTAACAAAAACAAACAAAATCTACCAAAAAAAGCCCGAAATATCTCACACTCAGCAAAATATTTTTTTAACCGAAAGGAAAGAAAATGTTAGTGTTTTAGTTTATTACATAGATGATTGATCACACATCAATTTAGATAATTATAGACATCATAAAAGTCAGAAAGAAAAACTTAAAACTTCTTATTAGATTCATCAGATTTCGGATTTAATTTTGAAAAAAAAATATCAAATCCGAAATAATAGATATATATTTCATTTATAAATTATGACACTATTTATGTTTATATTCTAATTTTTATATTTATAAATTTATAAAATAAATAAATATATTTTTTAACATAAGGTAAATTCGTCTTGATCTCTTAAATTTAAAATTAACTTTTGGTTCATAATTTGAAAACATATAACTATCGAATAAATTTTATTTTTTATTGAATTTATCACACAAAAATTTCTTGTTAGCAAAAGTATCACACTAAAAACTTAATTGATAAGATACAATTGATTTAACTTGTCTCTGATAGGGATACTACCGATGGTCTTATAGAACTAAACACGTTTTTCTTAAATTAAAAGATTATGAAAATCAATTTTAAATTTGGATGGTTAAAAAAAATCTTCAAATTTGAGAGACTTAATATATATATATATATATATATATATATATGAGTGAAATTTAATATATGTGTGAGTGAGATTTAATATATGTGTGTGAGATTTTATAAAATAATCGCATAATTATATTTATTTATAAAAAATATTAAATTCAAAATATTTTTTAATAATTATTTATTTCATTAGTTTAATTTAACATGTTTGAGAGTAGGCTATGAAGACAAGCATAAGAGACCAATTTTCAAGTTATAAATGCCTTAGGAATTAAGATAGTATGTACAAGGTTTTAAGTTTAAATCATGTTGTTATCATTGTAATTCTTGTAAGGAAAAGGCCCATCAGGCTTAAATACGTCACCATAAATACTATATTGATGAGACAGAAAGGCATGTATGATTATTTAATATTACGATATTTATTACTCTGTATCGAGTACTGACTTGAGCGTCGGAGTGTCTTTGCAGGTACCCTTCCCCCTCTCAAAACAAGGATTCGAGAAGTTATCACCTCTGCTTGGAAGAAGACCAAGCGTCATAGAGTATCAACGTAGGAGTGTTTCCAGTAGGAACATTTTGGCGCCCACCGTGGGGCCGATTCCTACACGATTTCGACCCCTTGAGTCAAGATGGTAGCAACTAGAAGCCAGCAAGAGAATATGACTATCAACAACTTGGGAATGCCTTGAGAGCCAAGGCAACCAAGGAATCAGGCCAAAGGAGAAAGGATGGAAGAATCCTACGAAGACCATTCTCAGCCAGCTAACCCATCCTCGGTAATAGAATAATTGAGAGTTGAGATAATGGAGCTTAGGAGACTCCGGGAAAAAGACGCTCATGAACTATCTGTACTAAGGAAAGAAAATGTCGAGCTAAGAAGTGACAATCGATCGTGGCAACCCACTAAAGGTACTCCCATCACTAGGTTCTCTCAAGACCAAGGTGAATCTTCAGGGTGGTATAAAGGGCCTAAGCTCTCCAACCAGCCCACCGCAGTTGTGATGATCACATTAGATCAACAAAGATGACAAGGAAGAACACCTTTCACCCCATAAATAATAAACGTCTGCCTACTAGATAACTAGAAGAGTCTGGCTTTGGATAAGTACGATGGAACAACTGACCCAGATGAACACCTTAATGCCTTCATCACCCAAGTCAGCCTGTACACCAAGGAGGACACTATATGGTGTAAAGTATTCCCTACGTCTTTGAGAGGACCAACACTAAGCTGGTTCACCAAACTCCCCCTAGGGACGATTGACTCCTTCACTATTCTGTCAACACGCTTCAGCATCCAATTCGCCACAAGTTGACCACACAGGCTCACCTCCATAACCCTAATCAACATTCGCCAAGAAAAGAAAGAACTTTTAAGGGCTTTCATGGAACGATTTGGGAAGACAACACTAGCCATCCGAGATCTGGACCCAGCAGTAGCCATGCACCATCTAACCACAGCATTGCGACCGGGCCCTTTCGTGAATAGCTTGTGCAAGAAACTGCCCCTATACTTGGATGATTTGAGACAGAGAGCCACCAAGTATATGCAAATGGAGGAGTTAGCCGAGTTTTGAAATCAAAGTCGACTTGATTTTTCTCTGACCAAGAGGGAGATGGAGAAGGAACACTCGTCTAAACCTCGCCCGCGGGACACCCTGGATCGTGAGAGAACCGCCAGAGGACCTAGGTATGCACAATACACGCCCCTAAACACCAGATGAGCCAAGGAATTGGAACAAGCCCTGGCCACCAAAATTCTTACAGTCCCTCAACGAGCAACGACCCTACCCTGAGTTGACAAGACTAAAACCTGCCAGTATCACCGAAATAGGGCCACACCACCGAAGAGTGTACTGCCCTTCGGGATCGCATCGAAGACCTCGTAAAAACGGGTCACCTACAACGCTTTGTGCACGTCCCAAACAAGGAAAGACAAGCTTATCAGCCTAACTCAAAGGCACAAAATCAAGAAAGACAAGATAGGAGACCTCCTGCACATTGGCATAGAGAGCGCATCAAGTCCCATGAACGACATGATGACCGCCGAGATAGAAATCCCCCGAGAAGGGGGATTAACACTATCGCTGGTGGATTTGTAGGAGGAGGGGGAACCTCATCAGCCCGAAAAAGGCATTTGAGGGCAATTCAATCAGTAAACGCGGTTACTACAACACATTTAGTCCATATCCCTCCTATCACCTTCACCAACAAGGACTTCAAGGGAATTGACCCAGTGCAGGACGACCCCATGGTGATTAGTGTAGAGGTTGATAATTATTTAGTAAGGAAAACCCTAGTCGATCAGGGAAGCTCAGTGAACGTCCTATACTGGAAGACATTTAAACAACTCGAAATCCATCAACAAGAACTAACATCATATCATAAGCCCCTAGTCGGCTTCTCAGGCGAAAGGGTGGACATCAGGGGAACCATCGACCTCTACACATGCTTTGGAACAAAAAGAGAAGGACGACAGATAAAAATACGGTACGTGGTAGTACATGCCAACACCTCATACAATATCCTACTCGAGCGACCTTTTTTGAACAAGCAGCTGGCTATTGTGTCAACTCCACACTTGGCCATGAAGTTCCCATATGAAGCAGGAACTATAATCACACTCCACGCCGACCAAAAAATGGCCCGCAAATGTTACATTGCCAGCCTGAAAGTTCAATCACTGCCTAAGTATTCACACAACGTGAATGTCATTGGGACCTCTCATAAAGGAAGAGTTAACCAAGATTTGGAGCTTGACCCTCGATCAGAGAGTGACGACAGGGTTTAACAGTTGAGACAACCATCCCCTTTCAGTTACGAAAGAGAGAAGAGCAAGTCACGTATCTAGGATCTCAATTGACGACCATCGAATGTGAAAGTATTAAGAGGGTACTTACCCACAATGCTGACTTATTTGCCTAGACCGCCGCAGATATGTCAGGCATCGATCCAAGCTTTCATTGCCACCGACTTTCGACATGTCAGGACGCCAAACCCATAACACAAAAGAAGAGGAAAATGCGGGGGGGGAACAATCGCAAGCAGTAAAAGCGGAAACCCTCAAGTTGCTTGAAGCCAGATTCATCAAAGAAATCCGGTATACAACATGGTTAGTTAATGTGGTTATGGTGAAAAAGGCCAATGGTAAGTGGCGAATGTGTACGGACTACACCAGCTTAAACAAAGCATGTCCGAAGGATGCATATCCCTTACCACACATTTGAAGTTAGCGGAAAAACACATAGAAGGGGGGTTGAATATGTGTGTGTAGGTGAACAAAGGAGTTTTAAAACATTTCGCAATAAAGCTCTCTTTCATCCAGTAAAGATATCATCAGTAAATGCTTGAACGGAAACAACCCAAGATTGGTTTACCAAAATCATTTTGCGTCTGAAAGTTTCATCGTCTGCTAAGAGAAAAATACTACATAAACAAAAAATGTTCTTTTAGAATAATCAATTGAGCAATTATAGTTTTCGTCTGAAGATAGCTTTGATAGACGATAATTATTGGATGAAGTTTTCAGTGAATTAGATTAATCAAATAAATTGCGTTTGAAACATTAAGATGTAGAACAAGTATTTTTATATTGGTTCACTCAAATTGAGTTATGTCCAGTCTCCTTCAACTGAAGGGTTCCACTAGATATGAAATGATGAACATCGAGTATTATCGTTCACTCCGGGACCTGAGTATTCTCGACCACTCCTGGCCCGTCGGCTTCACTCACCAACGCTAGTATTCTTAAACCACTTCTGGTTCTCCAAGTATTCTCGACCACTCCTAGCCCACCAGCTTCACTCACCAGCGCTAGTATTCTTAAACCACTTCTGGTTCTCCAAGTATTCTCGACCACTCCTGGCCTGCCAGCTTCACTCACCATCGCTAGTATTCTTAAACCATTTCTGGTTCTCCAAGTATTATGGACCAATCCTGGCCCATCATCTTCACTCACTAACGCAAGTATTTTCTTATCAGCCACTTCTGGCTAGCAGTGAGTATTCTTTGACAAGCCCCTCCGGGCTTTATAAGTATTCTTTTCCTAGCCTCTTAAGGCTTTACAACTGATAGATGTGTGGTCGGGTTCAAGTGTTTTGGGTTACTCTCACAGAGAGGATACATATATGATCTACACTCACTAAGGTTTTGCCTTCTAAGATGTACACATTTAGAATTCCTTAGTTTACAGAGAGAATTACACTAAGGCAGATTTGACTCTATTTGCTCTGTCTCTGATTTTGTTACTTCATGGACTGAATATAGCTCTTCTTCATGCTTGCACTATTTTGGACCAAATAACCAACTCTTTAAGGTTTGATGTTGAGGCTTATATAGTCTTGTGAAATTTGCCCGTTGCAATTGTTCGTTGAAGCACATATAGTCGTTTACGACTAGTTTGATCTTCTCATTTAATGCTCAGATTCTTGCATTAAATGTTGCTTCATGTTCATAGACAATGCGTGAAGTTTCCTTGCTCTGTTAGTAGCTGTGTCTGAATATAACAGAGTCCTAGGAAACTTTTGTCCTTTTCTAATCCTATAGCTGTGGAACTTTTGTCCTTGCCTAAAAAAGTGATTTACTTTTTCTGACATGCATGATTTAGCGTTTGAGCATGCTCTTTTTCTTTCTTCTTCTCTTCTAGTAATTCAAATAACTTCGTGTGTTCTTCTATGAGTATAGACGATATTCAAAATGTCTTTTGAAGCTTGATTTCTCAGGTGATTACGAGTCATTCTTCGTTTACGTCTGGTAGTTGACATTTAGTTTAATACTTCGACCTTTGTCTGATCATCAGTGTTTTGACTTTTCTTTTCGTCTTGGTCAACCTTGTATATGGTCAAACTTCCCATTTCTTCTGGAGTTTCTTCTTGGTCGTTTGACCATCTTCCGTCTGAGTCTTTATGTGCTGCCTTAGATTGTGCTTGGCATGGTCTTGTTCCTGATTTAACTTGTTGAGTGCTTATGTTGGCCTTTCATTTTGTATTTTCTGATGCTTATGCCTCTTCGTCATTTTACCTGTTCGTATGTCTTTCTGAAACACTAACTCACTTGTTAGAGATAACAACATATATTATATTTGTCTCACTCAAAACCTTTTTGGGAATCTCTTCGTTTGACTTAACAACATTGACGCGTTGGTAGATAAAGCGGCCGACCATCGCATTCTTAGCTTTCTCGATGCTTATTCCAACTATAATCAAATCCCCATGTACCCTCTTAATGAAGGAAAGACTGCATTCATTACTGACTCGGCCAATTTTTGCTATAAAGTCATGTCCTTCGGCCTGAAAAACGCCAGAGCAACATACCAATGACTCATGGACAATATCCTTCAAAGGCAAATTAGCACACGCCTAGACGTGTACGTAGACAACATGGTAGTGAAGTCCAACTCATACGTTGACCACACCAACGACCTCAAAGAAGTATTCAGTCAGATAAGAAAACACCGCATGTGTCTAAACCCAGCCAAATGTACCTTTGGTGTGGCTAGAGGGAAGTTTCTGGGGTTTATGCTTTCTAAAAGGGGAATACAGGCCAACCCAGACAAGTGTCAGGCCATCATCGACATGTGAAGTCCTCGAAACATAAAGGAAGTCCAACGGCTAGCAGGGAAGATTGCCTCGTTAGCTCGATTCCTACCTCGCATGGCCAACAAGTCTCATCCAATTATGACTTTATTAAAGAACGCTAGTAAATTTCAATGGACCGATGAATGCGAGTCAGCGTTCCAAGAATTCAAAACAATACTCGCCACTCCTCTTCTTTTGGCCAAGCCCGATCCTCATTTAGATCTTATCATTTACATAGCAGTCTCGGATGAAGCAATTAGTGTCGCCTTGGTACAGGAACAAGAGGAACAAATCCCAATATACTTTGTCAGTCGAGTCCTCTAAGAAGACGAAACACGATACCAACTCCTCGAGTGGACAGTTCTAGCCTTAGTGTAGACAGCCCGAAGACTCTGCCATTATTTCCAAAGCCACAAGATCGTTGTCAGAACGGAAAACCCAGTAGCCAAAGTGTTACAAAAGCCCGAATTAACAGGCTAGATGGTGGCATAGTCAGTAGAGTTATCCCAGTTTGACATCCACTTCGAAGCACGGGGACCTATCAAGGCTTAGAGCATGACCGATTTTCTGAACGAATTCCACCCTGACAACACCCCAAAAGTAGTGGCCTGGACATTACATGTGGATGGATTATCCAATCAACAAGGCAGCGGAGCAGGAATTATACTAGAAGGTCCAAGACAAATGTTGGTAGATTAGTCGATACGTTTCGGCTTCAAAACCTCTAACAACCAAGCCGAGTATGAGGCGTTGTTGGCCGATTTGCGATTGGCACAAGAATTAGGGGTACAAAGAGTTAATCGTTGGAGTGATTCCCATATTGTGACTGAATAGATCAACGACACATTTTAAATCAAGGAGCCCACGTTGCTCTGGTACTTTCACGCATTTCAAAAGGTTAAGTCTAATTTTGAAGAGGTCCAAGTACACCACACACCAAGAGAACTTAATGCAAGGGTTGACCGATTAGCCAAGCTAGCAAGCAGCAAAAGGGCAAACCAGTTGCACAGCGTGATACACCAAGAGATATCAAATCCAAGCATCGCCGAACAAGAATGTATACAGACACAAGAAGGAAATGTTAACTGGATGACGGAAATCATCACCTACCTTTCAGCTAGTGACCTACCGGCAGATCTGCTAGAGGCAAGGAAGGTACAAATGAAGGCAGCACGGTATACCTTGATAATAGGTGACTTGTATAAAAGAGGTGTTGTCGCCCTGCTGCTAAAATGCCTAACACCAGAGCAAGCACAATATGTAATCAAGGAAATCCACGAAGGCATATATGGAACCCATTCAGGAGCCCGAACTATGGTAGCCAAGATCTTACGGGTTGGATACTACTAGCCCACCATCACCACCGATTGTGCCAAGCTCATACAAAAATGTCAATCATGTCAGAAACACAGTCCACTAATATGACAACCTGCAGAAGAGTTACATTTCATCACAGTACCATGGCCCTTTTCCATTTGGGGCATGGACATCTTGGGCCCATTTCCAAAGGCAAAAGGGTAAGTCAAATTCCTACTCGTGGCATTTGATCATTTCACTAAATGGATCGAGGCTGAGCCATTGGCCACCATCTCAACAGCCAATGCCTAGAAGTTTGTCTGGAAAAACATTGTCACTCACTTTGGAATCTTATATGCCTTAATCGTCGATAACGGTTTACAATTCACAAATCGGCAGTTCAACCAATTTCTGGAAGGCTTACACATCAAACACAAATTAACATCTGTGGAACACCCTCAAACTAATGGGCAAGTAGAGGCGGCAAACAAAGTCATCTTAAGGGAAATAAAAAGGTGCCTCTGACAAGCCAAAGGAGCCTGGCCAGAACAGCTACCCAAAATACTTTGGGCCTACCGTTGCACCCCGCAGAGTACTACTCGAGAAACCCCTTTCCGGCTCACATACGAAACTGACATAATGATCCTTGTTGAGGTAGGAGAACCCTCGCTGAGGCAATGCCAGTATAATGAAAAAGACAACCTGAAAGCACTCAGTGTAGAGTTGGACTTGATCGATGAAGCTAGAGACCAAGCACTCATCAACATGGAAGCATGTAGAACAATATTGGCTAGAAGATACAGCACTAAAGTCGGGCCATGAGATTTCCAACCAGGAGACTTGGTGTGGAGGGTTACAGGAAAAGCAAGGAAGGACAGGGCTCAAGGCAAGCTCGCGCCTAACTGGGACGGACCATTCA